AAAGCCATAAATTGTTTTGTAAAAAAACAAGAAAGAAGATAAGGTTTTTTTTTTCTTTCGTTATTTGTATATCTATTTATATTACTTAATTGTTTTTCTTTTTTGTATGCATATTTAAAATAAATTTTTATAATAAATTCACGATTTTCTATCAAATGATTGAAGGATTTTAAATATTGAATTATAAATTTTACCAAACGATTTGATAATTTTATAGTGAATTTTCAAAAAATAAATTTTCAATCCTACCAAATGATTGGAGGATTCAAATTTCCTTTAAATCTTACCAAACTGTTGAAAGATTTAATGATTTTTTTTTCAAAAGAAATTTTCTATGTTTTCAAATAAAAATACCATCAAATGATTAGCGAATATGCATTGATATAAAATCTTACTAAATAATTGGAGGGTTTTGTTATTTGTTTTCAAAAAAATAATTTCTTAGAAAATGTGTTAATGAATTTGATGGCGGAGCCCTTTCAGAGTGAGACATGAGTCTCCATGAATATTCCTGAAGTGAGAAAATTATCCTAAATCACTACTAAACAATTGGAGTAATTTTAAGATTAATTTTCGATAATCAAATTTACTTGATAAAAATTCAAAAATATTTTAAGGCTTGGATGATATGAAATCAAACTGGTACTATCATTTGATAGGCATTGTGAGGGTGCTATAACATTCTCACATATAACCGTACTCTCAAATTAATCTTGATTTCGTAAACATAAAATCTACCTTTTAAATATACCTAAGTTAAGCTTGAGATTTCTCTTTAAAAAGGAATAAATTCACTTAAATGGCTAATCACACCTAACAAAAAAAGATTACTGGTGACTTTTAGAGTCAAGTTTAACTATAGACTTACGGATCTATACGTTATGATAAAATATAAAAAAATAAAAATAAAAAATAAAAAAAAACTCATAATTGCTAATGTGGTATGGCAACTCAACTTTCTCCAATTTTTTTTGTTATTTTGTTATTTTTGCTTTTATGTCCTTAAATTTTTTGTTTTTTAATTATATATATATTTTTAAAAAAGTAATTTATGTGTACACATATCACCATAATTTTTGTTTTTTTGCTTTTTATTTTTGTAATCATATAATTGACAATAAAGACAACTGGTAAATTGATTTTTAAAAAATATTTTTAGTAGCGATATAGATGATAAAACAACTTGCGTGAGTTTTAATTTGTCAAGATCAAATAAGTTCCTGTTTTATTTGGGATCGAATTGAGGTTTTTTTATAAAATTAATATTGAGTCAAAACAGGTTTATGATGTTTCATCTTGCCTTAATTATATATGATAAATTATATTTTAAATTATTTATTTAATTTTATATTTATGTATGCATTATATTAATAAAGTTATTATTTAATATATTAATTTAATAAAAAAACTATATTTATGCCTAATTAAAATGTAATCCATCACTCCATTAATTCATTATATAAATTTGATTTATTTTAATTTTTTTACACTCATTCAAAGTCTTAAAGTGTCATTTTTTTTCTTTAAACTTTTTAAAGATTTTATTTTTTGATAAATTAGAAAAAAAAAAGCAATGAACGTGACCACATGACACTCTAATTTGCTTTTCTACTTTTGTTTTTTAAACAAATAGATTTTACATCAAAAGAGTTGATTCATTGCAATGACAAAACAATTTTTATCCTATAGGTCTTTACTCAATTGCAATGTCTATATAATACTTCAATGTGCTTTCTTTTTATCTTGTTTTTTTAACTTTTACTTTTTCTCTTTTTTATTTTTTTTGTCTTTTTAATAAAAGTAATTTTGTAAAAAAATTTGGATGTGTTCACATGGCCTCTAATTTGAGTTTTTTTTTTTTATTTATTATTTTTTTATAAGATAAAATTCACAAAGTGAGAAACCAATTGATAAAAATATTAAAATAATTCATATTTCACGAGTGTTAATCTCTCAATCCAATAAAAAGATGATTTTTAAAAATTTAATATTTAATTGGAATGGATAGACTTTAAAAAAAAATTGAGATCAGGTCTAAAATGTGTTTATGATTTTTTTTAATCTCTTTTGAGATGTATTTAAAAATATATATTTTATTATTTATTTAGTTTTTTATTTATTATATTAATAAAGTAATTCTTTTTACCTTTATTTAAGAGTTTTTTATTTTAAGTTCAATATTAGATGTTAATATTATACCCTCTATTTGTTTTTTTTTTTTCTGTTTTTTAGTTTTTTTTTTTCAAAATTTTTCATTTACCCTTTTTCTCAATTTTTACATTTCTATTTTTTAGATTAATTTTATGAGAAAAGTGGGTCAATTAAGATATAGGCATTTTATCCTTTTTTTTGTTTATTTTTTTAATTTAATAAATTTTACAACAAAAAATGATAAATAGAACAGTAAAATAAAAATTGTTTACTTATAGCTAGATCAAATAAGTCAAAATACGAAAAAAAAGATACAAAAGAAGACAAAAATAATATGAATTAAAATTTTAACAAAAAATATATATAGGTTTAACATAAATAAAAAATATATTGTATTTTTTTATATCTATATGATTATAACATATAATTTTTATATAAAATATAATATAAATATATAAATCTTCACTATTTTATGTAATATGAATATATAAATTATTAAATACCGTGATAAATGTACGAATACATTTTTAGTGCTACATAAAAGTTAAAAAATATAAAAGATATGTAAAAAATAATTTTTATAATATATATTTTCATGGTTAAATTTAAAATTAAGGTAAATTGTAAAAGAATCAATTGATTGAAACATTGGACAGAGAAAAAAATATCGAATAGATTGGATAATGACAAAACCTGGTTGGTTGAATTTCACAGTTTTGTGGGTATGGTATCTTTTTCCTTTATTTCTGAGTTGATAACCATGACTAAGGGGCTGAAAATGGTTGGACACTTGACTCAGCAGTCAACTCCATTTATCAACTTAATTTTCTATTTGATCAATCACATCCGCTAAAGAATTTTTAGTTGTGACATGTAAGGGTGTAAATAATACATTAATATTCGTAAATTATTCGGATTTAATTTAAAAAAAATTTAAATTCGATTCGATTATTATCGAGTCGAGTTCGAGCTCGAGTAACTCGACTTATCGATCGAATCGAATTCGAATATTCTTATATCTGACTAGAGTAATTCGTGAGCCTAATCGAATTTTTATATTTAAATATATTTTTATTATTTTAATTAATAAAATATTTCAAGTTTGAGCTCGAACATAAATAATCAAACTCTTATCGAGTATACGAATCGAGTTTATTTTTATATATTAATTGAGCTTAATCGAGTCAGTTCAAGTAGCTCGAATTCGATCACGAATCGAGCTCGAACTTGAAAAATAAAACTCAATCGAGTTCGAATCAAGTATCGAACCCTTAATTATGAGTCGAACTCAAGCTCGAACTTCTCACTATATCAATTTGACTCGACTCGATTACACCCTAGTGGCATGTAATCTCAATTTGCAAATAAATTTATTAAATAACAATTGAGTCAGCAAAAATTTTATGGAATTTCAAAAACATCCTCCCACTCACTTGTTCAGATTTTCTCTCTTGTAATTAAGGATGAAAGGGATTGTAAGGCTAATTTTTTTGTAATTAATTTTCTGTATATTTAGTTTTTTTAATTTAACTAGACTTGCATCTTATAAATGGTACTTTTCTCGTTAAGTGAATAACAATTCAAATATATTCTTAGGCCAGCCTTAATCTGAGTTCATAGACGAAAAGCTCAAAGAGTCAGCTAAATCCATTCCTCTAAAACAATGGACCTATCATCTCCACAGCCATTAGAGTATAAACAGAGCAAAAAAAAAAAAAAAAAAATCAAGAAATGGGGCAAAAAAGTAGACCAAAATTTGGCACACTGCTGGCAGTCCCATGGGCATGATGAACTCAAATGGGCCCAAAAGTTCCTCCAAAGAAACCCAAATGAGAGACAGGAAATTTCTTTGTCTTCATTTCTGAGAGTGATCCAAAGTGTTAGATGAAATTAAAATAATATGAAAAAAAAACTTTGGGTTTTTTTTTTTTTTTTCATTTTTGAGTAGTCCCAACTGAGCCGTTTGCTTCCACAAAACAAAGAAAAACTCTGATTTGTTGATCCCATCATAGCCATGATGTTGAGACAATGAAATAAGTTGGCACTTATTACCATTAACTTAACAATTGCTTTTGCAATTGATTTGGTGGGCAATTATGGAGGTCAATATCTCTCCTCTCTATGGTCTAAACCGCTCCTTTATGCTTTATATGAAGAAGTGAGTATTTTTGGGAGGCTGTGTCAACTCCTAAAAACAGAAGCAAGCGGATATATAAAAGGTTAAAAAGAAATGCCACTGAATTTGATAATAGATATCATAAGTAAATCTAAGTGGCTATTTATACCTATAAATTAAATGATAAATGAAGATTTAATCATTTATAATTCGTATATTCATAATTTTTTTATTTTGTATTTAAATTATATAAAATATGAAAATTATTATATCATAATTTATATCAATATGTAAAATATACTTTTAAATCATGTCATTGTTTAGAATTGTTAAATCTAAATAAATGTGTATGACCGCTATAAAGATGTTTAAAATTTTTGAAAAGATAAAATATATAGTCCATTAAATCATTTTACTAGAGTTTGTTCAAAATCTTTGGGCAAAGATGAAAAAACCTTGCAATTTGAATCGTTTAAGACATCCATTTAAGAAATCCCATACTAACGATTAATATTATTACAATACCAAGCTTCCCATGTGCTAGATTAAGATTGAGTTGGCAAAGAATATGAGTGAATGACTTCATGATTTACAACACCAAAAACTCATCAAAATCACCCAACAAGGTTCCATATAGACATAACACATGATTCTCTCACCTTGTTCCTGTCATACTATCATCAAATTCCTTTATATAAATACACGCAAACTCCCACTCAAAAGAGAAATTAGTATGATTAAAAATCTTCCATGGAAATCGCAGGCAAGGTCCAGCTCTGGTGAGATATTCTCCATCCCTAGCACTCCAAATCAACTCCATGATTCCGAATTCGAATTCGGGTGCTTTAAACAGGATTCACCTTCTCAAGGTCCATATAGAACCTCACCAGCTGATCATCTTTTCTTCAATGGCCGACTCTTGCCTCATGCCTTTCCTTTACAACCTACAACAATGGTTGCAACTGATCATGATTCTTGTGTGACGAGAAGAACAAGCAGCATCAGCAGCAAGCATTCATTGATGTCTTCAAGAAATAACAGTACTAACAGCAGAAGCAGTTGCAGCAATGCAAGAACAAGCTCAAGTGACAATTCAGTGAGGGTAATTTTGTACCATGGTAAATCCATGCAGGTAATAATAATGCAAGCAAAATGGTAACTACTCAGCTATATGGCATTCTCAAAGATGGCAGTATATTACACCAGTGCCTGTTCTGAAACGAGTGGTTTCCAGAAGGAAAAATAGTGGGGTTGTGGTGAAAGAAGCCTTGAGAGCTAAGAAACAAGGTGATCATCATCAAGAAAGGAGTACTGGTAGGGGAATGTCACGGTCTTGCCTGAGACTTTTCAGGTTATTTTTATTGGCCTATAGAGAATGTCATACCATGGAACCTTCCAGGAAATAAGATGTGGTTCAAGAAAGTTCAAGTTTGGATAATTTATGATTAATCCTAACTTTTTGCTTGTTTGAGTTTGTATTGATTCTGTGCTATGAACAACATTTATTTGGAACTTTGTTACAATATTTCTTCTCAACTAGAAAAAATAAGAAAACAAGTACTTTGGAGACATTGAGATCAGGCAAAAGAAACATCATTATACTGCAGTGCTGCTGGTTTCTCCTTGATTTTGGTATCATTAATATGTTGTGGAAATTCATTGCAAGATCCCATGTTATCCAGGATTGGTAATATGCTGCAGGCCTGCAACAGCTGATATTTTGTTAAAAAGAGAACTGGGAAGCCTCAGAGTGTCCTGTTTCTTTTAATAAAAGCTGACTTTATAGCACCCTATGCCAATATGTTCCTGCATAATTTGGCTCTTATAAGCTTTAATTAGCAGAAATTGGAGAAAAAGAGACCACCTTAAATCCTTTGACCACTCAAGCTGGTTTACTAAGTCAAGCATAAAAGACCTCTAGTTAAAATGATTATTAAATAGCACCTTATTCAAATAGTAAATTATTGTAAATTAAATTGATAATGTCCCATGCAATCCTAAAGTATTGAAAAATGTCTAATATCATATATGTATTGAAATTTTTTTCAATTACGTATCTAAAATTATAATTCTTCTGTCAAGTTACACAATCGCTTACATCGTTAAAAAGCAATTACTTACACCATTAAAAAAAGCGCTTATGTGAATGATTTCAAGCCTTAAAATCATATCATCTAAAGATGTTAATTTTATTTAAATTCGATGAAATTTTTTATTTTTTTTATCTTAATGAGAATGAGAATAAATATTAAATTTTAAATATGAAAATAGATATGAATATAATTTTAAATTTTTTACCAGATATGATAAGGAGATGGATAATATAGAATTCATCTCATACTTGTATCCTATATATACTTATATATTTAATAAATTAAATTTTTATTTAATACTAAAAATTTTATTTTACATTAATTAAATCTAATATTTATATTTAAAAAATATATATTTATAAAAAAAATTACATAAATGTTCAAAATGAAAATTTAAAAAAAATTTTATTTTTTATTTTTTAAAAAATTAATATATAGAGATTACTCATATGCATTAAACAATGAAAATAAAGATGAATTTGAAATATCACTAGATACAGACATAAAAATCAATATAATATAAAAAATAAAAAAAATGCTTTATTCATATCATGCCTTACCTGTTGATGACCCCAATGGCAAACAACTCTGCCCAAACTCAGACAAGGAAAATGGTCTAAGAGAATGCAGGTACAGTCCTATAAGCCCAACTAGGTAGGGCAGATTGAACCAGTTGACTTGACCTCAAATCAAAGACTTCGGCTCAGATTGGCTGTATAACAGAATCCAAGAAAAAAAATTTCTGGATAAGAAGGAAAAAGGACCTTGAAATCTTAAATCACAGCCCAAGCCCATAAAAGTGAACGACAAAAGGCAGGAGACAGGGAATTTGACTCTGCCCAGGCAGGCAGTGGAGAGTTTACAGATTTAGAAGACTTGGGAACTTGGAGCAAAGCAAATTAATATCATTCCATTTATAAACAGGTAAGAAAGAGAATGTTTGATTGTTGATTCTATTGAATTTGTGTATATATGCCTAAATCTTGAATATAATGGTGTTTTTGAGTGTTAGAATTGAGTTTAGTTAGGTTTGAATCAGGCCAAGTTTTGTCATCATCCTTATATGATATTGATCATTCTATTTTTTACATCATTCTGGCTGTTGAATTATTTCTTTTAATTTTTTGCTATGATATGTGAAGTTCCGGGTTCGTTTTTTGTTTGGTTGGTGGAAAAATAATTTAGGAAAAGAGAGGTGAGATGGAGATGGCAGGTGGAGAGGGAATCACAGAAAAGAGAGAGATGGAGATGGATGTTGATGAAATGGATTCTTTGTTTGAAGGGATGGTGCTTTTTACACCATCCCAGTTGGCAGAAGACCATGAGCAAGAGCAAAGGCAAGATCTTGATCACCCCGAACCTGAATTACAGGATTCAACACAGCAGCAGAAACAGCATCAGGTTCAGGAGCCCCTTGATGAGAATTTGTTCTCTGATCTTATTGTTCAAAACCCGCTTGATCAGCCAGAACCAGAACCACGGCCTCCTTCTGCTACTGCCTTCTCTCGTCAGACTTCTTCTACACCATCCCCGTTGGCAGAAGACCATGAGCGAGAGCAAAAGCAAGATCTTGAGCACCCCAAGCCTGAATCATTGAATTTAACACAGCAGCAGCAACAGCATCAGGTTCAGGAGCCCCTTGATGAGAATCTTTTCTCTGATCTTACTGTTCAAACCCGGCTTGATCAGCCAGAACCAGAACCACGGCCTCCTTCTGCTGCTACTGCCTTATCTCGTCAGACGTCTTCTAGCTATAGAAAGAAAAAGAGAGCTACTGGATTCAGGATTGGATATGGCAGAGATTATCAGAGTAACAATAATGTTGATAGTCATGATAATCAATTCAGGATTGCATATGGTAGAGATGATGAGATTAATGATAATACTGATGGTCATGATGATAACCATCCTGCCTCACAACCATCTCCTACTCTTCATACCAGTACCACCACAACCACTGCCGTATCTTTAGTCGCGAAGTCAGATTCACAATCCCACCACGACCAGACTCAGCAGCAACAGCAACAACAACAACAATCTATTAATGATGTCCAAGCCCAATTTGAGCGAATCAAGGCCCAGATTGCTGATAAGCTCAGCCGTGCTCGTGAATTAGCAGCCTCTATATCTGCAGCTCGCAAGGACTCGATCAGGAGAAGAAGAAAGGCGGCTGATGATCTTCACTTAGCAACTATTAAACTTGGGGACCTTGAAAAGCAATTGGAGGATGCTTGTGAAGCTGAAGATTTTGAGGCTGCTGACAGGATCAATGAGAGTCTTGCTGCTGCTGACAAGGATAAAAAAGCTCTCCTTACTGCTCTTCGAGATGCTGAGGCTCAATGCAATGCTATTGATTCAAAAATGCTCGAGGTTCTCAACTGCCAGATTGCTGTCGAGGAGGAGTGTGCCTCTTTGCTCCATCGTTTCTCTGAGGTCAGTCATCCAACCATCACTAGTACTCTTTTCAGATACCAACCACTTAATTTGTCACCAGATATAGATGGCTCCTGTATGTTAAATTGTTAATTTAAAGGTGATCTTTTACAAGTAACTACTTGCTTATGAGTTACGAGTGGGGATGTATTTCAATTTCTTTCTTCCATTATTACATGGTTGTGTTTTTTTACTCTGACCTTTACATTCCTCTTCCCCTAGGATGCTATGAGTAATGCTGATTTAGTGTTCAAGAATTCAGAAGCTCAATCTTCAGAAGAAAGAGAGAAATGGCTTTCTTCAACTGAAGCCTTGGAGTTGAACAAGATAGAATTACAGATTGAGGCACATTTATTTGATGATGCTCGTGCAGTATTCAACACTTCCCTTGACAGCTTGATACAAGATGATAAGAAAGAGAAAGAATTTCTCTGTAATCAAAAGGATATCTTGACTGACGAATTGCAAAAACTACTTGCCTTAGTGAAAGAAAAGGAAAAAGAAATTGCCAAAAACGACTCTAAAATTAAACAAGTAGAACAAAGGATAGCTGATATGGTCTCTGGCTTTCAAGAGGTGCAATCAAGCTTTAACTCTAAGTATGACAACTTACAATCTCATCTTTCCCAGATGGACATAGAAACTGAAACTCTGTCAAAGAAAAAGGAAGAAATTGACAAGCTCCTTGCTGAAGAAGAAGATAGGGGGATTAAGCTCAAGGAACTTGCCAGGATTTCTGTAGGAGAAGCAAAAATGTATCAGGAAGTTGCTGGAATGAGAAAAAGTCTGCTATCCTCAGTTTTGAAGTCCATGGAAGATAAAGTGAGGCTTGCTAAGACCGAGGAGAAGCTTTCTGAGGATGTCCAAATTCTTCAACTGGAGGCTTCTACCACAAGGGCCTCCCTACAGGTTCGTTTTTCTTCTCCAATATATAAAAGAGAGGGATTTTTCTATAATTGGTTATGTTTCATTGTATTATATTTTGGACCTTCAAATTGAAATTTGTTCATAGTTCCTTCATTCAACTATCAAAGAAGTTTATTCACTTAACTAATTAGAACCTTGAGTTAATAATATGGATCTGGTCTTTGCTAGCTTCCTAATTTTTTTTTCTCTCTTCAGATTCCTAAAATGGCTAAAATGCATGGATTCAAACCCTCTTAACTGTTCTGTTCAAGTATGACAGAAGTTCGGTTAAACACTAACTGTTGTAAAGCACCATCAAGTTGTCCTTCTTTGTGAATCAAACTTGCATAATGTAGAATGAGTTCCTGGACTTGCCTTGGATGAGTGCTTTTTTCCAACCTGCTGTAAATATCTGTCTAAGAAACCATCATAGACAGGCCAATAACTTATCCTTAATTTTATTACTGAAGCTATAGATAATCAATTCTTCCTATCATATAATTTCAGTATCGTGAAAATCAGTGGAAGGTTAAATACCATGATGTTGCACTTAGTAGTTTGGTTCACTTGAATTTAGTATGTATTAGTACACAAGAAGCTCTGAATGTCTGTTTGTCCTTTTTTTTTCTTGATGCCAGTAGTTTATTAAAACTTTCCCTGTACTGATTTCAGGAATTATCTTCAACAAAGTCAAGCATTCAGCAGAGTATAACATCTTTAAAGCAGAGGATCTTTTTCATAGACAAAATGGTTCCAGAGCTTGAAGCTGAAAAGAAGGTTGCCGCTGCTTCAAGAAATTTCAAGGAAGCTGCACGATTAGCGGCTGAAGCAAAATCATTAAGCGTTGAAAAGGAAGGTGTACAAATTGAAATGGACAAAGCTGTGCTGGATCTTGGGAAACTGGAGGAAGAGATAAAGCATACTGTGGACAAATTGCAGGATATTGAAGGACTGATTTTATCCAAAGAAAAAGAAGTGGCAATGGCTAGGTTCCAGAGGTTACTTCTAGTTGCTGGTGCTACTAAAGCAGAAAGATCTGCTGCTCTAGAGTTGGGTGACATTGAAGAGGCTAACCTTCTACTTTCAGAGGCTAATGCTGTTGATTCTGAAGCAAAAGAGCTTCAACCAAAATACAATTTGAAAGAAGAAGAATTTAAAGATTTACCTGAACACTTCATCTCCCTGGAACTTGTAGCAAACCTTGGCCAGAAGAAATTAGCAGATTTGGCAGCATTGTCTGCTTCATGATGATTAGAGTAGCTTTTGAAGATTATGGAGTCAAAACCAAATGCAGAGAATGATGAAAATGGTAGGCATGAAAAGCAAAAGCAAAAGAACCAAATAGCACGACCCAGATGGTGCTGCAAATGATGTTGTTTTTAAAGACAATGCGCAGAACTGATGAAGAGAAAATGGAAAACCCAATATTTTGCATATAACAAGACCAGCCAACCCAACATTTTATTTCCAATCTGGCATGTAAAGAGTCTAATTTCATTGAACTCTGCATTAATCATGTGTAAACACAATTCCAGTCTAAACCATTATATCAAATTAGAAAATCTAACTGTGAAATTTCTATTTTACAGGGGGAATATGGAAATGCAAGATCTATGTGTCAGCTTCATCAACAAACCAAAGTTGTAAGATGTTTGTATTTTGAGTGTCATATTTATGTCAACCGGAAAAGAAATACTCTGAAAATATTGATCAGGCAAAAGGAATATCACTGTGCTGGTTTCTTTATGAATTTTGGTATCATTGCAATTTGCAAAATGCTAGGATATCTGGGATTTGTTACATATAGCAAGCATGCAACAGCTTAATACTACATTTGCGTAGCATTTTCATTAAAATTTTAGATATATCAGATCAATGCGAAAGAGTGTTTTTAAAATTGTTTGTAGAGGGATTAGATTCAATTACAGTTTGAAGACATTTTTTATTGTATTTTCAAAAATGAAAACAATGATACATTTAGAAAAATGATATACAATCTCAATTATAAAGTTTATTATTTAAAATAGAAGGTCAATAGACTAACAATCGTTTGAACAAAACCATTATGATCTTCAATGTTTTCTCTGGAAGAATCTCATGCTTGGAACTGAAGCAACAACATGCCAGGCTCACATTGTATATTGAAAATTTGCATTACCCAACCTTTTCGGCCTGTTTCAAATGAGTTCTTGTCTTGGCTTTTAGGTTCTATATAGATGTACAATAAGATTAATTTCGGTAAAAATTAAAAATAATAGAGGTAAAATTAATTATTATAATAATAAAATTAAAATTAATGGTGAAATAAATGTTTAAATACAATTACAACAATGATGGTGAGAAAAATTATAAAAAAAAAAATCTTTAAAAACGTTAGATTAAAATTAGTGTATGATAAAAGTTTTAGATTATTTAATATTTATAAAATAAATAAGTAATTGAAATTTTATAAAAATATATTTATGATAAATAATAATTCTGTTAATAAATAATTTATTATATAATAAAATTTATTTATTTATTTATTACATAATAATAAATTTTTAAATTTTTAAATAAAAAATAAAATGAAAAGAGAAATTGTTAAATTAACATTAAATGAAGGGAAAAAAAAAACAACACAAAAATGACTAAGAACCACTGGTGAAGAAATGAGATTCAAGCCTCTAACTGTGCCGCGGCTTTGACATCCAAATGGATGTCTAGCGTCGTTTGGCACAAATTTTTCTAACAATTGCACATCCATCAGAGGTTCAATAGATTATAAAGACACCTGAATTGAATTGTAGACTTATCTAAATTTAATTAATTTTGACTCAAAATCTTCAAAATTAAATTAATTGAATTATCTTATTTTATTTTGTTAATCAAATAGAATTTATTAATTTCAAAATTCAAGTCAATATTCGAAAGAAGCCCAACAGAAAAATCTTATGTTACGATAAACTACAACAAATTATTAGAAAGTTCAATTTAATGGATTAAGACACAGACGTAAGAGAACATCAAAACGAAAACAGGAATTTGAACTACTAAGGAACACAAAACCTTGGGGTAAACACAAATTCTCACCCTATTTCCCCTCTAATACAGCCCTTCTAAATTTCATTCCAAGAAACTTTCCATGACATCGTTGCACATCCCTGCCTCAGAGTTCCTGTACTCCACAGATTGGTGCTGGTGATGATATACTGAAGTTGAAGATGACGATGTAGGCATTCTTACAGGTAATGTAAAGCTCCGTTTAAACTTGTTTTCTATCTTCCTCATATTCTCTGGATGACTCTCCAGGCTCATGAATTCATTGGGGCTTGCACCAGCATCTGTATTTTGATTAGAATCTTTTCCTTCAAAAGTAACTGGATGGCGGTGGTCTGGTTTGTTTCCTAGGCTCTCGGGGTTAAGTAAAGGCTTGGCATCTTCAGTTTGTCCAGTGAGAGTATTGAAGAAAGTCGAGCTATTAGGCCATTTGATGTCATTTTCATGTTCACCCATCACATCTTCCATTCGGGGTTTGGATGAACGAGGCAGGAGAAACATGTGGGTCTCATCTTTGGCTCGTGGCAATCCAAGGCTAGCCTGGTTATGAAAATCAGGTGAAGCAAGCATTGAAGTCACTGGTGGAAGCGGCCTCTGGCCCCAGTTGAAGATTGGAGAAGGTGGCCGGGTTGGAATAGCAGACTGCTCCGAAGGAATTGTAGATGAAGAGGAACTGTTTCTGTTAGACGAAAACAACTGAGAGAGATAGAAACCAGATTGATAGCCAAGAGATTCAAAGGTATGCCTCATTCTTAGCACAAAATGGAGCTCTTCAGGCACCTGAGGATCCACACAACATCTCAATGAGATCGAAATCATCAAACAGTTCAGCTTTGTGTGTTACAGTAAGATTTCACCAATGGAAGACCTGACTTTGATCTCAAAAATCAACCGTGAAAAGTTAATAAACCCGTAAATTAAATGAACTTGGGAGTTTAACTCTGCTAATTCATACAATCACTTTAAGTGATAGTACTCATAAATCCCAATACTTCCAATCTTTTTCCCTAACCCCAAGTTGCAGCTTCTTTTATGCCAAAAAAAACCCATAAATTAAATTCTCTAAGAGCAAATTTCCTGACAATTAAAATAACTAATAATTAAAAATTTTATTATCAGACTCACAATCTTGCAGGAACCCAACTGGACAACACCATGGCCAGCTTGAATCGCAGCAATAGTCTGGTCAAGATAAATCAAGAATCACCACCAAAGTCTCAATGACTAGACAAAATAGGGGGAAAAAAAACCAGAATAAGAATAAAAACAGTGAAAATAAGTTGTTTCTATGCTGACCTGAATGCCTGACTCAAATTGATCAGTCCATTCAGGAGGAAGCTGCAATCAAATAACAACAAAAGGGGAAGGTGACCATCAACCATAAATATACACTATCTACCAAATATGATAAAGCATAGCATAATCGCCACACACCAACTTTCCATTAACAGATACTTGATCATTGAACCCAAACGTAAAAATAGGGTAGACAATTGAGATTAAAAAGAAAAAATGCAACAAAATTTTTAAAAATAGAAAAGGGAAGATGAAGCTGGGTTATAAGACATACGGCATCAAATGAACTCTGCCAATAACTGGAGATATTGGGTTCACATTCTGTTGGTTCTTTGAATACCCATTTATGGCACTTATCTGATGCAACTTTTCCCATTAACCTGTTCATGAAACCATATTTCAACCAATCAAAAACACACAACAATAAAGAAACAAAAAAAATAATTTTCTTTCAAATTCTTTTACCATATATTTTTATTCAGAGAAAGAGGGGTCAGGGAGGGTAGAATTGAAGCAAAATGAAAAAGAACAATTTAATAGCGCCTACCCAGTACCCACCCTTCTCCATAATTATATAACTGAATGGACATTTTGCTGAAAGCTTTCCTCACTGGATCTTCTCCATCAATCTCTTCCAAACAATCTGTAGCTCTTCCTCCACAAAATCCATCTTCCCACATCAACATCCTTCATATGAAATTTTCACCACAGAAAAAGGGAAAAAATTCAAAATTTACCACAGAATTAAACATAAATTTACTAAATTTAAACATGAAAATGCCTCCAATTTACAATTTGACAAAACCCATGTCATAAAATCCATCAATAACTCAAATTTAACTCAACACCTACACATCTCTCATTAACCAAATTTCCTCTGTTTTCTCCACTGTTTCTACAAGCAAACAAGTAATGCCTACCTTTTATATCAGTGAAGCGCAAGAAGTATAAAGGAAAAATTAAAATAAATAAGTCAATGTATCCTCATTCGGTCAAAAGATTATAACACTTAAACCTTAATACATCCTTTTCCTCTGTTTTCCCAGGAACCAAACAAAAAAAGTCTTAAAAGAACAACGACAAACATACTTACAAGTTGCCGTTGTCATCTCCAACCTTGCAACCATTACCACCCCTCACTCTCCTACACCAAAAGAAATAAACCCAAGTAAGTAAAACAGCTGAAAACAAACACAAAACTGGAAGAAAAAGATGGAAACTTTAGTAAGTTAACAAGCATAAAAATACAAAGAAAGAGAGAAAGATAAAGTTGAAAATTTTAAGGGAACAAAAAGAACATACGGGCGAGGACGGATGGTCCAGAAGACAGAGTAAGTACAGCCTGAGTTGAGACAGACACTTCTAAGTGCTTCATGAAGGGCCATCATCCCAACAGCTTCTTTGCTCCTATCTGCTGAACCTAAGCCCACCATCTGATCTCTCTTTCTCTATATATATAGCTGTTTATATTTATATGTAAGAAATTATATGTATACCTTTTTTTATCGCTTTGTTTTTGACAATCACTTCTTTCTCTGCTTATCAACCCCAAACCATTAAAGCAAAACTCTTTTCTTCCCTTATCCCTCACTTTCGCCCTCTTTTATCAACAGCTTCTCTTTGCTGTTTGTTGTCTTAAGGAGTTGGAAGTGTGAAAAATATAGAAGTGTGGCAACAGCATTTTAGCCTTACAGGCCTAAGTTATGAGTGTGGGTTTGGAAGTGTGAAATATATAGAAGAGTGAGAACCGTTTTTTTTTGATGAGAAGTTAGAAGGAAGCGTGTTGGACGGGAACCGTCGGAACAGTTCGTTTGGTTCTTGATTTTGTATTTTTTTTTTTTTAAACTACTGAACTAGCTAATATTACCTTTCTCTTATCACCTTTTTTGTTTTAGGGTAAATGAATAGCTCATCATGTCTATGTAACTCTTTTCAAACTTTTATTTTGTTTTGATTTGGGCTTAGAATTTTTGAAAAAGAAAATATATATTTTTGCGTTTGATAGTAAAATTAAGACACCAATTTTTTGATTTAATAGTTAATAAATTTTAAAATGATATATACAATAAGAGTTTGAATCTCATCATTTTTTTAATTTTTATGCAATAAAAAAAATTAAAGATAAAATATCTTTCAAACATAAAAATTTTGATTTTAAAGAATTCATTCAGTAAAAGTTATTACGAAATTTGACATGTTTTAATTATATTTATAAAATCCTTTTGAGTTAATTTATGAAATATTATGATTAAGTCAAGATTTTGTAAAAATTTTTATAAGACCAAAATCATAAATAGATCAAGTCGGAATATTCGTCTGGCTCGCAGGCTTTGTCCGATTTGGGCGAAGCCTTTAATATTAGTTTTGTAGACCATGCCTTGTATGGCTCGAGTTATTATTTAAAAAATGAAAAATTATTTAAATATAATTACAAAAATATAAAATATTGATATAAAGATTATTTTTTAATATTTTAATAGTTTTTGAACAGTAATCAAATTTGTTCGAATCCGAATCGCTGTTGAAAAAAAAAAAATTCAAAAATCAATCAAATTTAATTCAATCCAATTGACTTATAAATAATTTTATTTGAAAAATCAAAATTTTAAATATAATTACACCATATGAAACTTATAAACGATTATATATGTTGAAAAGTAGCGTTTGATATATTTTATAAAATTATCATGATAATGCAATAATCAAAGTAATTTTATTATCAAAGTGATTTTACTACTTATAATTTAAAATTATTTTATTTTATTAATAATTATTAATTCTTACGAATTAACAATCATTGTGTTCAAAATTTTTAAAAATCAAATATTATTTTATTTAAAAGTACAAAAATAATCATATAAATTTTAATAGTTACAAAGTTAATGATTTTAATTTTTTTAAAGATAATAATTTGTAAAATATTAATAATATTTTTATTTATTGTATAATAAAATATAATTAAATTATTACATTAATAAATATATTCATTGATAGTTAAATAAATTTTTATAATATAAATTATGTAAAAAATTTGAATTAGAAAATAAAACTACTCTATTAAATTTATAATAAAAGAAAAATAAAAAATTTTATACTATATATAAAATATTTAAAAATAAAAAATACAAATTATTTTTGAACTTGTTACAATGAATATTAATTTAAAAATATAATATTTATAATATAAAATAATTACAACTTTAAAAGAAAGTAAGTTTTTAATAATTAATTTTATATATTACTTTATCTTAATGATAAAAATTTTTTACCTTTTTAACCTTCTAAAATAATAATTTCATCACTTTTGGTTATCTAAGATTATTACCACATAGAATTACTAAGTTCCTACAAAATATAGTGATCTAATATCGTATATTAATCATTATAATTTTTAAGTAATCATCTTATCCTAAACACTATAAAAAATTGTAATTTGCTACAATTATAAAAAAATAGAAATTCATGCTTAGATTTTTTGGCAGAAACTAGGGTTTATATTAAAGTACAAATTTTTTTTTACCTAAAAAGTAAAAACCACTGTTTCTTTTTTATGAAAACAAGCTTTATCCCAAATATTTTTACCTTTGGTAAAATTGATTTGGATTATGATTAGCATTTGAATATTGAAACTGTGATCAGTAAAAATAAGTTCAAAAAGATATATAAGCTTCTGGCAATTTATTTTATTCAGATAAATTTTTTTTTGTTAAGAAAAAAAAATAACTTAAGAGAAGTTTTTATACGAAAAAGGTTGAAGTTATTTCATAAAATAATGCTATGTGAAAATTATACCATCATTTAATTACAATTCTAACTTCATTTTTTTATTTTTTGATATTAAAAATAATGAAACTTCGATTTTATATAAAAATTTATTTTATTATTAAATACATTAAAATCAAAATTTTTTTTCTTAAACTACGTAAAAATCAATACCATCCAAACAATTTAAAATAATTAAAAAAAAACTTTTGAATTTTATCATTTTATTTAAATAAATCTTTTATTTTTATTATACTCAAATAAACCTTAAATTCTAATTTGCACTCAAATAAATTCTTAATTTTTAATTTGTATCTAAATAAATTTTTAATTTTTATTTTATACATAAATAAGCCATTAATATAAATTATTTTATTTTATTAATATTGGCTTCGAAAGTACGCTCCATGCATGTATTTTCATACTATTTATATGATCAACTCTTATGAAACCTTGAACTTTTATCTTTAGAATATACATGCACAGTAAATACATCATTTTTAATACTTGATTTTTACTTAACTCTGCATATATATATAAAAGTGCAACCAATTGAAAATTAATTTAATAATTTTAGTTTAGTATAATATTCATAAATATTAATTTTTTAATATAAATTACATTTTAATTATATATAAATATAATATTTTAAATTAAAATATTAAATAATAGTTTTATTAATATAATACATATATAAATATATAATTAAAACTATTTTATATCCTTATGAGTTGAATCAAATGATCGGGTATTAGTAATAAAGAATAGTTTGCATTTTAAGTAAAATTTATGAAAATTTTTTTACCAAAATTATTCAATAAAAACTTTAATAAAATATCCAAATCAATAGATAAAATTAAATGAAAAAAATTAATAATATGTAAAAAAAAAATTATTGAAAATGTCGTTTATAAACAAAAATTAATCCATACTTAAATAAAAATCTAGTAAAAAATTTTAATAAAAATATTTGCCTAAAATTATAACAAAATTTATTAATTTTTTCAAATTTTGCATATACAATCTATGTAATAAGACATGTAAATTTATCAATTTAAATTTTTATTTAATCATTTTTAATATAAAACTTCATGAAATTCACTTAAAAATTTTCTTTTAAAACTTTCCCGTAATATATTTGTAATGGGTCTAAAACATATCTTTAACTTAGATAAAAATTTCATAAAAATTTTTGATAAAAATATTTATCTAAAAACATATCAAAATTTATTAATTTTTTCAAAATTTGCATATACAATCTATGTAATAAGACATGTAAATTTATTAATTTAAATTTTTATTTAATTATTTTTAATATAAAACTTCATGAAATTCACTTAAAACTTTTCTTTTAAAACTTTCCCGTAATATATTAGTGATGGGTCTAAAACATATCTTTAAGCTAAGGGGAAGAGTTTTTCCCGCAACATATTATAAATGGTCTAACACGTATCTTTGAGTCAAGGGGACGAGTAAGTAGGACAAACCCAGACGTTCTTGTCAGCTCTTTTTTACTCTCAACGTTTGGATATTATTGAATTTGGTTGAATTGGAAAATTATAATTTGGTTGAATTGGAAAATTATCAGTCGCATCAATTTTCTTTTCTGGCTCGTAATTGGCAGATTACATTTGGGTTTTCTTAGCTATTGCTCTCAGATCCTAACCAGAACAAGCCTACTTGATCAAAGTAAGAGTGCTGTAGCAGGATCTGGTTCATTTACTCTCTCATCAACCAAATTCAACCAAACATTTAATCAAATTCTGGTCCCTGAAGCTGACCAGAACCATGAAAATTCCATGTTTAACATGCAGGTAGCATAGTTTCCATTGGTCGTCAGAAAATCACTGGAGCATTTAAAACTTGTTGGTCAGGTAGAGATTTAATTCCAATATTTTGATACAACAGCTTAATGACCTCACCAAATTTAGTTTATAAATGCTTTCAATCTTGTGCTACTCTCAGTCTCTCTTTTTTCTCCCCCTGATAGGTGGAAATCCAGGCTGTAACCCAAGAATTCATTGAAACATTTAAACTCTTTAAATAAGTTCATCATCTTCAGCAAAGTAGATATGTTATTCAGGATAATCAAGCTCAGTTTCAACATAATCAAAACCAGCACCAGCACCAGCTGCAGCAAGGTGATCAGACTCAGCAGAGCCAATAAGAGGAGCAAAACCAACAGCAGCAGCACAAGCAAAATCAAGACCAGCAGCAGCAAAACCACCAGCAACAACGCAAATGACTCCGACAAAGACTTAGCTCTTTATGTTGTTTGAATCTGTACGTAACTCGAAATCATGGTACAGTGAGGAGGCTGCTCCACCTATCTAATAATGAAAAATTTTATTTCCTTGCAGAGTTGGTTTTAAAATGCACTAAAATGATTTGGAGGCTGCCATGGGAATCACAGATCGCACATGAAAAAAAATTTTCAATAGCAAAATTTTAATTTACAAAAACTTAGCTAAATACACCAGCACTGACATTTTTAAAATTCCATTAACGGAAGTAAAGAATTGTTACATATCTCATTAAAGTGCATTAAAAAATTAGTATAATAAATAATAAAATATGTGAAATATTTTAATTTTGTTTATCAAATTTAAAAATTCAACTCATCTGTGATATTTGTTAGAATGATTCGTGCAGTCCAATGAGGCCATGGGACTTGTTAAGCCATGCCATTTACCTAAGTGGGCCGTTCTGGATCGGCCCATTTGAGTGTTAAAGAAAAAGAACAAAAAAATGCAGACAAAAGGTGAGGGCCAGTTCATCGCAATGTTGACGTTTATGTACAAACAAAACTCTTCAAAACGATGAGTTTTACTTCATTTCTGAAATTAAATTTACCAGTAAACGGAAAAGAAAAAAAAAAAAAATACAAAGAAGAGAAATTCCATTAAGAAACGCCTTTCCTTTTTTATCTCCGATCTTTTTCAAAGCTCTGAAAAATCCTTTCTCGTTCTCGACGAAAACAGGGAGAGACAAACATCGAAAAACCGAAAGAGAAAGATCTGCCACAATCAAACAGGTAAAATTAAAAAAACAATATTCCGTCAGAAAAAAAACATAATGAAACAAAAAACCAAGTTGTTTTTTTAAGACACGTGGGGGGTGCTGTGGTTTCGCTATCAAAGGAGAGTGAAATTTGTAATGGGTAGTTGTTAAATTTGTTTGTAAGAATTCTTGTTGTTTTTGTTCGCTTGTCACTTTAACATATCATTTCTTTCACCTAACAAGAAAGGAAATTTTTATTGTTGTGTTTCTTTTTGGGTGTCTCTTTTGTATATGATTTGCTTTCAGTGTAAGAGCATATGGGCAATTTTCGATTTCGGTTTTTTTGTTACAAAAGTTTTTTCTAATTGGGTTTTTAGATCTTGAAATGTGGGTTTCTTTGGGTATGCTTTTGTTTTTGTTATTTAAAGTAGTGATTTTTATTAGAGATATTAATGGGTTTTGTTTTAAATTTCTGTTTCAGGGATTGGGTTTTTGAGTATGGTTTTGGCAATTTGGAGTGGGTATTGAATTGTAATTGAAGGATGGGTGGAATGTGAGGGGTCAGATTTTTGGGGTGGCTTTGATCTTTGGTGTAAGGGGTTTGTTTGTAGAAATGGCTGATATAGCAGGTTTACAAGAAGCAGCAGGGTCTAGATTTAGTCAGTTGGAGTTGATTGGCAGAGGATCCTTTGGCGATGTCTATAAAGCGTAAGTCTATTATTTCAATTTCTTTCGTTATCACATTACTTGAGTCCATTTGCATTGTTTGTTTACATTTTGTTATAAGAAAAGAACTTCAATTGAATGTGACACTGTTACTTGTGATTGAATGTATCATGTTGCACATTGTAGAACTTTGTTACCAGTGTTCAATTTAGGAGTTGCTTGGTGTTTGATAGGAGTAAATGATAGCAATGCTAGTGTTGGCTTGAAATCTTTTATAGCCTTTGTTGAAAATATATCATGCCCCTAAGATTTGAATTTGAATCTTTTTCTTTATTTAAATATATATAAAAAAAAATCTTCCTGTGAGTGGGGGGAAAAAGGAGCCTTAAGGCTCATGGGTGTTGATTGACTAAGCCACAAATTGACAATTAAATCTTATACACTTTAATTAGGAGTATATGGAGACATTTGATAACTTTATGAGCATTATAATAACTTTATTCAATTATGTTTGTTATTTCATTGATACTGATTTGATTCTTCAAAGTTTGAACTATTGGATCCTGAGATAGGCATATCACTTAGTAAATGTTAATAATAGATAGGCTTGGTAGTGACTGTTGCAAAAATAAAGTACTTGTGTACTATCCAGGAGCATTGCTAAATTTTTTGAACTATTAGAACGAAGTGCAAGGTTGCAGAATGTTGAGTTTCCTCAAGAAACTGAATTTTAGTTATACCGTGTTTTAAATCGTTGCAGAGTGGCCTCATTTGACCCAAAAAGGAAAAAAAAAACGGGAGAGAGAGAAAAAAATTCATTTTTTTTCATGTGATGGAATCATGGAACATTGGAACTTCATAATTAAGTAGGGCTTTAATGGGTGTGGTCCCTCTGATATTGTTGGCTTAAACAGGCACAGAACAATAAATTGATGGATAATCTATCAATGAAATGCAATTCCCCCTTTCCTAACCTATATATACAACTTCAAGATCAAAATGTGAATTAGAACTTATAAAAGCTGCACATTACTTTCATTGTAATTTCTAGGCATTTTAGGGTTATATATTGTGTTTTGTGTTTATCTTAAGGTTTAGGATTTAGCTTATGAATACCAATATTGTTTCTGTTTTTGTAGCTTTAGATTATGAAATTATTGAGATTTGGAATTTCCTTGCAATGATTCTCTATTTTTTTCTCTATTTCTTCTCAAATGTCCTTTGTTCCCATCACCTTTTCTCCCACATTTCTCTTTGATCTTTTTATTTTCTCTCTAGGTTCCCACATTATTGAGATTTGGAATTTTGAATTGAGATGGATAGCTGATGCCTTTCTTGATTGCAGGTTTGATAAGGAACTTAACAAAGAAGTTGCTATTAAAGTTATTGATTTAGAGGAATCGTAAGTGGATAGCTTTGTTAAATTTTTCTTTGATTTCCATTCCTTATTCAAGTGTCAACAGGAAGATGCTTGCTATGAGCAAGAAAGTCTTGTTTATGTTCTTCTGTTCTTTGATCATTTGTTAAGTAATAAGTTGCTTCTTTTGCTCCTTCCCTCTTACTCTAAGTCTCTATGTATATGTTTGGGTTTTTTGGGTTACAAAGCTTTTTTGCTTGATAAATAAATTAATTGCATCAATAGTTTGTGCATGTTCAGCAAAGCAAATTTATCTTCCCTTTATCAATTTCATCCCTAGAAATGCCATTATAGTTCATCAACTTGCATGGGAGTTTGCAGATGCCTTTATTTACTAGCTAGTAGATGGGGCATATATGATATAACAACTTCTTTCATTCACTTAGTGTTTTGTTTGCTCGTTTTTTAGCTGTTTCTTATGCTTGCCTTTGTTTTGCATTCTGCAGTGAGGATGAAATTGAGGACATCCAGAAGGTATTACCTTACTTCTTGTGAGCTAGCATCCTATGTCTTTAATGAGTAGGTTATTAGCTTTTTCATATGTTTGTGTTTTTCCAGGAAATTTCTGTTTTGTCACAATGCCGTTGTCAATATATCACAGAGTATTATGGTTCCTATCTTCACCAAACTAAACTATGGATAATAATGGAATACATGGCTGGTGGTTCAGTTGCTGACCTAGTAGGTTACTTCTATTACTTGCTTCAACATGTTTGGTGTTATATTTGATTGAAGATTAACTAGGAAGTTTTGCCTCACAATTTATATTAACTATACTTTTCTTTCTTTGGTTTAATGAAATGTGTTTTTTTGGCTTCACTATGTTTATGACCAAGATATTAGTAAATTTGAAAGTGACCATAAGCAAGATCATTGCAATTTTTTCATTAGGAGGAAGAAATAAATCAGGAAATGTAATTGATTAAGCCTATGCAATAAATGATAAGGGGTGAATTTTAATATTGCTCTCTGTATTTCTTAGTGATTCTAAAAACTTGATTCAGTAACTTTTTCCTTCTTACTTTTCTAACCATTTTTTCCACATGGATCAAGTCCATTGACCTTGAACTGCCATTGCTTTTCTTTTCTTTTTATTTTATTTTATTTATTTATTTTTTTTGGGGGGGTGGCAAGGGGAGAGAGTGGCTAATAATGATCTTGTTTACTTTTAAAATATTAATGATGTGATATAAGATTATATAGAACTACCTTTCATTTCTAATTGTCAACCAAAGTAGGTAACGATAATTGCAAAATTTTGAAGGCAATGCTGCCATCTTTCCTGTAGAAGTACAAAATTTTCTCATCAGTGCTTTTAGCTCCAATTTCAAGGCATTTTCTTAGTAGACAATGGTGTTTTTTTCTTCTTTATTATTTTTTCCTGTTCTAGTGTCAGCACACAATCTCTGACTTGATTTATTTGGGGGTACAATACAACCACCAACTTCCTTGTATTGCTTTGGTAGCATATGAACTAGTCTTCGTCGTTTGTGTCGGTGCAGTTGTTTATTATCGGATTTGATGTACTATAATTCCTGAGTAACATTTTGTTTTTCTGGAAAGCTAATGACGATTCTTTATGTACAGCTTCAATCAGGCCCTCCACTAGATGAAATATCAATTGCCTGTATTTCACGGGATTTACTGCATGCAGTTGAATATTTACATAGTGAAGGAAAAATTCACAGAGATATCAAAGGTTGTTTTTCTTCACTCTCTCAGATCCACCTATAAGTTACAAATAGTTTTCATGTAGATAAGAAGAAAAATTTTTGAACAATCGGTTTTAGAGACTTTTATAGGCGTATGCTCTGCTTCAAATTATTTGTCTCCTTTGTTTTCAGCCTTCATTTAATATCTTTGAATGTTTGGATTTAGTGACATTCTTTGTTCACTGACAATATTTTTGCTATCACTTTTGGCAGCTGCAAACATTTTATTGACTGAGAATGGTGATGTTAAGGTACTTTTCTTCCTCTCAATGGGCTCATATTTAACATGAATCATTTGTATGGGGTGGCTATGAATGTAGCCGAGTAGGAATATGCATTTTACTTTTGTTAGTTAAGTTTTGGCCTTGTAACAGGTTGCAGATTTTGGTGTTTCAGCACAATTAACAAGGACGATATCAAGGAGGAAGGTACAGAATTTTGTTTTGTTAAGAATTTTCCAACAGGCATGAATGCCCATTTCAGGCTGTAGCTGCTGCAGTTTTTTTTTTTTTTTTAAATTTCTATGTCTTTAGGGACTTTGTGGTTTCTGGTTGTGCTCTCTCTCTCTCTCTGTGTAGAAAAAAGTTAATTTTTTTTGGTTCATGTGCATTTCTTTTCGAGAAAAGAAAAGAAACGTAGTCATTTGGTTGGTGATGATCTCTCCATCTGCATCTCCCTATATGCTCTTTAGCTGCTAAATTATAACAAATTTTTCTTCGGATAAGTTTTAGTTTACTGAAGGCTTTGATTTATGCTGTTTACACTTTAAATTCAAGGTTTACGTTTGACTTGACTCTAGTTTTTGAAAAGGCTTTCACTTTAAGGTATTTTATACTAGAATTTAGTTTCTTGAAAACTGTTCAATGGTTTTTAAAATTAGAAAAATGAAAAATTTGTTTTCAATATATAAAAGATTAGGTTTTAGTTGTTTATGAAAGGAAAAAAGACAATATTGGTATGTTCCAAAAAGTTGGACATTCAATTTGGAATTGGCGGGTTCACTTTGGTAGTGAATACCAGTGGTTCTGGATCACAACCTTTTTTTTTATACTGTTCATTCTAATTATTATCTGTATCTTTCCATACCATCATATCTGGAATTGTCTTCTCTTGCTAAACTGCTTTATCAAATGGCTGCTTTAGCATGGTATTGTTGTACTATTGCCATCCATTTGATTTTTACATCCTATGTATTCACTGCCACCAGGGCATGGTTGCCTTAGAAAGAAAGTTGAATGATATTTATCAAAGGATTAAAATTTTCCCACATTCCATTTACCCCAAAATTCACTACCTTTTTAGACAAACAGCGTTACAAATTGTGGTTGTCATATGATTGTCAATAAGTTAATATGGTTAAAAATGTCAGACTTTTGTAGGAACACCATTCTGGATGGCACCTGAAGTGATTCAGAATACAGAAGGATACAATGAGAAGGTACTTCTAAAAGCTGTCCTTTGGAGTTTTTCTTGAGTTCTGACATGTTTTGTTGCTGTCACCTGCCATCCATCTGCACATTCTCTCCCTCCTATGCACATATGCATAGCCTGCAATGTCTTTACCTGCTAAGCGTTGCTGTAATGAGCATTTTATCACTGGGACTCTTTGCTAATACAGGCTGATATATGGTCTTTGGGCATAACTGTGATTGAAATGGCCAAAGGAGAACCTCCACTTGCAGACCTTCACCCTATGAGAGTTCTCTTTATAATACCTCGAGAAAATCCACCTCAGGTAATCTCAATAGTTTTTATTATCATGATGAAATTTATGTCAAATGATTTATTCTCATGTTTCTCATTCTCGAGATGGAATGATCATGCTTTACAGTTTATATGCATTCAAAATTTCTATCCTGCAGTTGGATGAGCATTTTTCCCGCCTTATGAAAGAATTTGTTTCCTTATGTTTAAAGAAAGTACCTGCTGAGGTAAGCGATTGTGCTTTAACATTTCCCTCTATTTGTATTAATTTTCTTGTCAATTTTGTTGGAATGGATACGGAGACTTTTCCAATTTAATGATAGAGATGTGATTGCCTATTTATGATAAATTATGTTTAGAAATAGTAATTTTTTTTCTTTTGGCAAAGTCATCAGTTCCATTTGTGTTTACCATGGGGTTTTAAATAGAGTAAGAAAAAGCCACAAATTAGTCCTTTATTAATATAACATCATTTATTAATTTAGAATATACATCTTGATCTCTGGAATGCTAATAACTGTCCAGTCTGAGATCAAAGTGATGATGGAAATAAGATCTTTTGGCTGTGTTGAAAAGAGGCAGTACCTTTAGCAATAAGCAGAAGGAATGAAGTGGAATTATTGTACCTTTAAATGGGGAATTTTACATCCGTCATGCATTGTGCTTCATTGCATGGAGGATTGTCTTTGAGCCATTTTTCATTAACTAATTGAATATATATACTGTTAATGCATTGAAACTTGCATTAGATCTATGTTACTGATTTTAACCTCGAAGGGACTGCCTTTGCAGCTGTTGATTGTTTTAAGTAATAGTTTTGGCTAATTTCTTCAGCTTTCATGTATCTTGGATTTTTTCTTTTGTCTATTTTTTTCTCCCTCTGTTCAAGCTAATCTGTGAGTTTTCTTGATTGTTTTCCAACCATTAGCAGAGACATATTGTGAAATTTCTGCATATTGGAAATGGAACGGAATGTCTTTTTGGTTCTTTCTCTACTTATCATGTATCCGACCTTTTTATCCTTTTTCCAAATGTAGAAGGAAATAGATTTTGTGGTTGCAGTAAGGTGTGGTAGTTGATATAGATTAGGTTAGAAAATGGGTTTTTTGTGTCTAGTTGTTCCCTGAATTCTGTCGGCTGCCAATTAAAGTGCAATGTTTCTGTTCATGAATTGACTTCTAAAACTATTCTGATGTGTATAATTTGAGTGATCCTGGGTTTTTGGCTTAATTATTTCTGAATGCTGTAAATGCCTTATACTTTTCTTTAATCTGTTTCATTTCAGAGGTCTAGTGCCAAGGAACTTCTTAGGCATCGATTTATCAGGAATGCTAGGAAGAGTCAGAGACTTCTGGAGAGAATTAGGTGCCATCTCGTACTTTGTTTCATAATCTACATATGATAGGATTCTGTATCTGACAGAGTTTATGGTGTCAAAGCACCTTGAAACACTAAATTATGCTTAAGGTGTTAGTTATGTTTCTGACATGTCATGAAAAAAAGATGTAACTTCAGAGTATCATTCTTGCATTGGTTATTGTAGTTAAGATGCTTGTGTTTTGTGTTCTTAATAGAGAGCGCCCAAAGTACCAATTAAAGGAAGATGCAGAAGCCCCCAGAAATGGCCCCAAAGCTGTAGGAGAGTCAACTGACACTGTGAAGGTGACAAGAGATATAAGAGGTGAAGAAACTGTTCGAGCTAGGTGGGTTGATTGTGTTGATTAGCTGTACTTTGTCGATTTTTGTGGGATTTTTGCTGACTTGTTCTGATCAGCAGTAATCAAGGGAAAACATTTAAAAATGCTGGATGGGACTTCAGCATTGGTGGACCACAGAGTACAGGTGCTGTCCGAAGTGCTGTAAGACCTCCTCAGGTTAGAGAAACGAAACCAGAAGTTGCATATAATCAAGCTGTACCAAGAGCTCCTGAGAGTGGTAATGCGCATGATGAATTCCCAGAAGTTTCCTTTAGAAAAGACTCTAGAGAGTCATATTATGATGAACATCAGGATAATTACCATGATGTAAGATTCTCTCTCTCTCTCTCTCTCTCTCTCTCTCTCACACACACACACACACACACACATTGCATGCTCACTGAACTTGAAGCAATGGCAAAAGTTTTCACTCCATTGTGGCTTTTGGCATCTTAAAAATTTCCCTTTTGTCCTATGTCCTTAGTAAAAGGCTCTGTTGCATGGGATGTTCTAGGGGCTTCAAAGACTGTTGTTTTTCTGAAATTGACAAAGTGGAATTAAAGATCTGATTAAGATGGGCAATGGAGTAATATGATTAAGTCTTTTGCAGTTCTTTCCTGTTTGTGGCTAATGAGGCTATAAATAAAGTTCACTTAGCTGGATTCACCAACCATTTCTTTTCAACTAGAGCCAGTTTCATATAATCTGTTGTTTTTATGTCTCTTACACTTAACTACTTGATCCTTTTATGCTCAGATCTTATGACATTGTTTATGTTGCTTTATTCGCAGGATGAAACTTCTGTCAGTGGGTCGGGAACTGTTGTCATAAGATCTCCTAGAGGATCTCAATCATCTTCATTGTTTCATGACCCATCCTCTCTTGTAAGCTTCCTTCACTTCCTTCATAGTTGTCTTCTCAAAAATATTAAGTAGATAAAGTCTCTGTTGCCTTCTGTGTCCCAGCCATTGATTTTATTAGATTTCAATGTGCTGTGTAGTCTAGCAGTGCATATGCTTCTTTTGAAGATGCTTCTACCAGTGGAACTGTTGTTTTCCGTGGCCAACATGATGACACCGGTTCTCCTCGAACTCCAAGATCCAGGCTAGGATTTCAAGAGAGAACTTCAAGTGCATCAGTTGAAGATAGTGCAGCAAATCTTGCTGAGGTTGCTTTTATTTTCATCTTTATTGATCAGTTTTATTATGATTAAACCTTTTCAGATTTTTCTTGTTTAGCTGTGAATTACTACAATCATATGGTCTATAGAGTGTATGTTTCATTGATTAATAAAAGATATTGATATGTTTTATGATATTTGTATAACATCAGTTTTTGTTCTGACTATTTTTGCTACCATACATCTTTAGCAGACACTTGGTTGATAATTTATTGTTTTACTTATTGCTCTGAATTCAGTCTACAATCAAATAGATAAATTACTGTCTACCTAGTGTTTGCTTAAACCTTTTGAACATAATAATGCATTTATTATTGGAGATTCAAATTCCTTCTTTAGAATCTGAGTTTACTATGGAACTTGAATATATTATTAGCTTCTAGATACAGAGTGCTTCTGTTGAAAAGCTCATCTTTTAATATGTTTCTTCAGGCAAAGTCCGCAATTCAAGCAGGGTTAAGGAAAGGAAATGCTAGGGACAGGTCTGCACTGAGCAAGATCAATAGTGCTGGGCACGAAAACAGAAGAAGAGATCAAATGAGTAACAGTTCTGATTCTTCCAGGTAAGCCTGATAAATAACTGATAAATAACTAACTTTCCATATCTTCTATGCAGAATTTTATGTAGCTTTGGTTATTGTTTGGTTGTCTTAATATCTCTAAAGTATTGCAACTCTATTCCAGAAGTTCACGTGAATTTTTTGATGTGCAAAGATTTTTTCCAAGATCACGTCAACCAAGTGATGATGAAGAAAATGCAAAGATAGCATTGTCATCTGTACCACTATCCATGTTGCTTATCCCTTCCCTAAAAGAGGTGCGCACCATATGATGTTAAGTTTTTCCTTGCCAATTAGTCTGATAGAGGTAACTTTGAAATATTCCTCCAGTTTAAGCAATCTTTAAACCTGAGTCTGTAAATGCTTGCAATGATACATATTTCTCTATATCAAGTATGCAAAACATGATCTTAATCTTGGTGCAGACTCTCATTCATCTGGATCAAAATAGCTTTATTGTAACGATTGATTCATATAATGGAGTGAAACAAGATGTCATACCAACTTAATGAGTAGGTATAATCGATAAAAAATTTACTTTGTTAAGATAGAAGACCGTAAAATGCAGGACTAAGAGACAGGATATTTAAAATGGTTTTGACTAGTAGATCACATTGATCTATGGTTGTTTTGAGGTAGAGGAGCAACTTAATAGAAGAAAAATTATGAGGAAGTCTGAAAGAGCTGATGCTTAAATTAGTAAATAGTCCTTGCCTGTGCTCTAGATGGAATGGAACTGAGCAAAAGTATGCATGTTTCTAAGTCATTAATTCATGTTAGAAGCTTGTTTGTGGAAATTTATGCCTCTACTCAAAGCCAGCTCGTAAACATGGTTTTACAATGAAGCTGTTCACTGTGATGCTTATTTGTTTACATCTTAATAGTTTTGTTAATGCGCGCATATAGGTCATTGCTGATGATTCAGAAGGGTCAGTTGTGCATGCAGTTACAAATTCTCTTATAAATATGGAGCGTACAAAGCCTGGATCTTGTGAAGCTCTTGTTCGCAGGTTGCTTGAGCAATTGGCAAGGTTAAAAACCTTTTGTGGAAATAAAATAATTTATTTTGTATCCCATAGTATCATCCCCTTTGCACATAATTGATCTTGGTCTTAACTTGATGAAACTCAAGCAGAGGTAAAATTTTGCAGCTCAAAGGAATCTTCAGTGAAAGATATGCAGGAGCTAGCAGCTCGCCTGTTCAATAAGGGCAAGACGACTCCTAAAGATGCACAAAATACAAACATGGAAACTGACGGTAGGAAAAAGCAGCATCATAAAGAACTTCATTCAAATTCCAACTTGAGCCCTCTTGCGAGATTTTTACTTTCTAGGTTTGTTGAAATATTACTCCTTTAACAAATGATTTTTTTTTTAGAAGATGAAGTCTCATTTACAATGTGCTATTTAATGGCACCAACTGTTCTGAAATCTTCTCATGTGATGCAGATGGCAAAGCCAAACGTCGGGGGATCTCAACCCAACTTGAAGGAAAATGTGAGTTTGATTATATCTCTGTTTTGTAGTGTGTTTTCCTTTATGCATTTTGCTGATTTTAATGTACATAACATTTTAAGCAATTGTGTATTTATCATCCATTATGATTAATTTTCTATTTTCATATTTTTATTTTGCTGTGGCAGCATTGATGCATAATTAGGTTTTGCTATTATAACATTACAAGATGTAATCTCATTAACTATTAATCATTCATTAAAAATAATCTGAGTGATAATCTTGCGAGTGAATTTGCTTAGGGTTAATAGTCTTCCTTTGTTTTCCGTGATATATCTGATAATTTTCGTGAATGAATGGATTGGAGGCCATGCTACCATTGCCACCTTTTCAGTCATCCTTAGTTGTTAATGGTGTCTCGAGTGAATAGCGCCAACCTTCCATGTTTTAATGGATGAAGAGAGCTGAGTTTGGTATTATCAATGGTTGATCTGGTTATCTTACTAGCATATAGTCTCCTGCTGAAAGAAGTTTTTGAAATCGATCTTTCCAAGTTTCATATGAAGATAAGATATGGCTGCCACTGGTGTAATACTTCCTCCTCAGCCAAGTAGATTCTTAAAATCTTGGTTAAAAAAAACAAACTACCAAAGTTCTTAAAGGTTAGAAGATGAGCTCTTTTTTTTGTCATGGGTCTAGTTGGTAACAATATGAGCTTTATCTCTGTCAATTTTGGTTCAATCCTTGTAAAATGCATTTAGAAAAATTAATACATATATATATTTATTTATTTATTTATTAAATACACCAAATCAATGCGAAAAAGTGCGTTCCTCAAATCAACCAGTGGAAAAAAAAAAATTAAGTTGGATGGAAAGCTTGACGATCCCCTTTCTTTTTACCGAAAAAGTTTGTCTCGACCCTAGACCACTGTGCATTACACTAATGGTGGATTAAAAGTGAACATCAGTAACTCAAGAATAGTAGAGAACTCAACCATTGGCAACATTCAATTACCACAAGTTTTACAAGTTTTATATATAACAGGTTATTTCAATTAAGGGTTCAACTTTTCAGGCTGGATGCAAGGAGATTGTCATTAAGCAACAACAAAAAAAGAACCTATTACACAAAATTTTCTAAGTTGAAACTCTAGATAGCAACCATCCATAATGGTTTTGTCACAAATTTGTGACCAGTGGGTTTGCTTGCAACCTAAGATTATAGGCAAAATAAAATTTAGGAATTGAATTCATATACACCTTTTGAAATTCTATTTGAGTTCTCGAGTAGCGATTGTTAGGACTTTGAATGCCAAGCACTGTTTAATTGCAAACGTTGAATGAATAAGCCAACTTCTGGGTCGGAAGAGGGGAAATATACGAAGTAAACAAACCAGCAGAAGTTCCTTACAGTTTAGAAGAGTCATCTGCATATGATTGATAGAAAGCAAAACAAGATCTTTATCACATTTTTATTGTGTAATAATGCTTTTTTCTTTTTTTTTTTTCATTTTACATGTGCTAGTCGAGCAATGCCAGCCACTCAAGCAACAAATATTATTCTGAATGCTGGGGTGGCACTTGGAACTGGGGAGCACCCAACCTCCAGTTTTTGCTTATTGCTGCTATAGACTACAGAGATTCATATGAGGAAAGGGCTTCTTGGATTATGGCACTGGTTCTGAGATTTTGACAATTTCAGCACTTAAGGTAACTGCTTCTTTTTATTATATCTTGGAACTTTAACCACAATAAAGCCTTGTCAACCTGAGTTATCTGTAAGCATTTCTAGGCACCGATATTGTTGTTACCTTCCATTTATGTCACCATTTGTTTTTATAATAAGTTTGGTTATAATATATTGTTATGCACTAATAATCTAATTAATACTTTGATCTTAGTCAATATTTTGACCCTCATTTATCACCAACCGTCAAGTCAGCGATCGCCAACCGCCAGATGAGCAATTAATCTGATTAACAACAATTGACCACCAGACGAAGAATTGACTTGACTAACAACAAACCAACTATACACTATCGAAACCTGTCCACACCATAAAAGATGAGGTTGGAGCACATGTACATCATTCAAGCCCCAACTTATTTTCACCGACTCTCAGCCCCTTCTACCTGCTCTTTTTCTTGCCTTCTATCTTTTTCGTTCGATTGACTTGAACGTGGGAGCACGTCCCCAACTCCTATCTCCAACACCCCCTGACTATTCCTTGTCTTTCAAGTCATCTCTATCTTTGGTCAGCTTCCCAATCACCTTCTAACAAAGCACCCAGTCACCATCTCCAAAAGACCATCAACAGAGATCTTAGATAAACATGTGATCATTTGAGTTTTATGTTCCATGTGTATATGCCTCCTACATTTCTCATCTCTTCTTGCTATGAGATGGTATGTTCACATGTGAATCTTGACAACTTTCTTCTCATATTTTCATGTGATTTTAGGTTCTTGCCAATAGGGTTGTAATATGTTGTGTGAACTGCAGTTTGGTACTTCTTTGTCTGTTGGAATTGATGTAGATCCTATAGCAATCACAGCCGCACGTCAAAATGCTGCTCCGAACGACTTGGGACCTGAAAATTGCAATTACACCTGGTTTCTGGCAACGCTTCCTTCCATAATTCTTAATTTCATTTTGACATCGGCATATACGTTTCAATTATATCAAAATACTATATAATTAAAGGTGATTTTTTTATCATATGGTATTGAGTAAAATCGATTATTTTCATTAGTTTCGATCAGTTTCAATGAATTTTGATAGATTAAAATATTTTAGTTAGTATATGAATGTAAAATATATTTTATAATTTTAACTTATTTTTTGTTATTTAATTATTTTTAACTTAACAAAAATAAAATTAATTGATAAAATAATCATTAAAAATTAAATTTTTTTATTTTTTGTTGTAACTTTTTTTTTTATAATTTATTTTTCAAACAAAAATTTATAAATATTTCAATATCTTTTAAGAAAGTAATTATACTCCCTTTATAAAGTTTAACAATCATAAAATTTTAATTAATTTTTTCATCTATTTGTTTTTATCTTAATATTTACATAAAAATATTTATTTAAATATCATATGATTTGTTTAATTATTTAAAAATATCATAAAAAATTTATAATATTATTTTTTATACTTTTAAACTTATTTATTTAATTTTTGAAGATATTACATATTTATTTTGTAGATTATTAATAGTATTATAAGATACAAATTTATGCATATTTATAAATATATTTGTAATAAATAAAAAATCTGAAATAATATATTAAAACAATCGATACCAATATATATCATATTTTTTAAAAAATATTATCTAATACGATATTAATAACCTTGCTTTCTTCGCTTATTTGATGAACATAAATATGTTGAAAAGCTTGACTACATGTGAGCTAGTGGTTGAATGTGAACGAGAAAAATACAATGTGATCATTGCAAGTATACTTCTAAATCCTTTGCTAGAATTGGTTGATGATATTGTTTGTCATGCTAGGCCTGGGGCAGCCATTGGTCTTTCCGGTATTCTATCTAAGAAGGTATTTTCCCAGCTTAGGTGATTAATTTCATTGGCATGATATGAAAGATATTTGATCATAATGGTTGGCTATATTGATTATGGTTTTGGTCAATGTGGTAAGTTCATGTTTACCTAGTTTTCTTCTGTTCAGTGAAAACGTCATGATAAACTTAAAGAATTAATCCCAAAAGTTCACCCACCTTTGAAAGGGGATGGACAACAATTTAGTTACCTTAGTGAGTGGCAATTTAGGTAATCTTATGTCTAAAGTGTGCAAAACACAAAAATTATTATTTCATAATTTTAATGGATACGGCAAACATCAAACACATTTTTTTGTGTGATTCATATAATTTTTGCTAAAATTTTAAATCGTATTACGTTTGTATTTTTTTTTATATTGTGTTATTGTATTGTCAAGGCATTAATCAGCAAGGAAAAATCACTTTACAAGTTGACTCGTGAATATACACATTTTAAATAGAGATGAAGTATTCGATAATAACAACAAACTAAATCTTATATCCCATAATTTTGAGGTTGGTGTTTGAAAGGCTAAAAATAGAAATCATGTTAGGTGGTAATTTTAAATTTCTTGTGCTATTCATTTCTATTAAGAACAACTTTTGCATCTACTTCCTTAATCATCATATTATTTTTATTACTTGCATTCACATTTTTAATGGTCTACCTCTAGAAGTTTTGGTTTTTCCTAAATTTAAAAACTCATTTTTCCTAACCGATTCATAGATAGGCCTACATTTCACATATCCTAACCATATCAAATGACCCTCTCTGATTTTTTTGCTCAATTCGAACTATTCTTTTTTTTTTTTTAAATCTCTTCATTTTTATTTTGTCTTTTCTAATCTTACCGCACATCCATCTAATCATCTTATCTCAACTATACCCACTTTCTTATAATATTGTTTCTTAACAGTCTAACACTCAGTTTCATATAGTAGTTATTCTATATAACTTCATCTTTAACTTTAAAGACATGTTATGATCATACAACACACTCGATGCATTCGTCACTTCATCTTTCTTATTTGACTCTTATGATTTATATCATTTTCTATCTTAACATTGCTCAAAATAATTGATCTCAAATATAAAAAATGATTACTTATTGTTACTAACTCTCCATCTAACTTAATCACATTAACACTCACTTTCCTATTATTATATTTCATAAATTCAGTTTTAGATCTACTTAATCTAAAACCTCGAGACTCTAATTTATGTTTCAATAATTTTAATTTCGCATTAAAATTTTAGCAACTAAGGTTATAGTATCAGCAAATAACATATACTATGACATCTTATCTTGGATATATCTAGTTAGCTCATTTATAATTAATGTAAAAAAAAAATGGAGTTAGTGCTGGAAGGCGACGACCCAACAAAAATTTTTGTTTTAGTCTTTCATCATGATTTGACTATGTTTTATGCTAACTATCAACCTATTGCAACCTTTATCACTTTATTTGAGCTTAAGGCTGACAATATGACAACATATAAAGGGAGTTAGGTGACGTATTCAAGTAAGTTAAAAATAAATAAAACCAAATGAATGTTTTGGGATAGTGCCCAGTGTTTCATTAATTCCATTGTCTTCCCTTGGTTTTCACGATAGCTACCAATTGCTTAACACTTTAAGTACATTTACCTTTTTAAGTGAACATCCCTTTCGGTACAATAAATCAAGTCAAAGTTAGACCTAACTGTTCTTCTCAAACTAAAACTTGAGACACCATAAGGTCGCATAATTTATTTTTCATTTGTCTTTGCAAGGTCTTATTTCATTGTATTAACTCATAGTTATCAGTACATCTAATATTAAGCAAGTTAGCTAAAATATTAGGACACTAAAATGGACTATAGAACCTAATGTTACAAAATATATAGCATCATTATTTCCTTACATTTAAAAGCTATAGTTGCTGTATTACAGGTCAATAAAAAATCAAAAAGTCTAATATCATTTACTATTTATGAGCCAAAACATCTTATAGTAAATATAATAAGCAAAATTATAGATATTTGCAGCTTTCAGGTCATCACAAAATTTGCCTCATTTAATCAAACCATTAGCTAAAATGTTAGCAATTGAGTTATCTCTTAGCCAAAACGGGGGCTCACTTAGGGATATAGACTTGGTAATTTACCTAAAAAAATGATTTAACAATGTCATGATAACACTTAAAGTAATTAATAGATCAATGCTACCAAGTTAATAGACAAACTTTGTAACAGGTTAAAACCTAACCTATACCATTTCCCCAACTTGCATCACAAAAATTGTCTTCTACTGAAACTGTGAATTATCTTTCACCCTATTTTCTAGTTTATTTGAGGTTAGGTCTACAGAGGTGGATATAGAAGAAGAGGATGGCTTATTGCAAGCAAAATCAAGGGCATTATTAACTTTATCACCATTATTGCTGTTAAAGTGGATTATCTCACATCCAATAAATATCTAATTTCCTGTAATCTTATATTCAAATTAGGCTTCTTTATTTTTTGTCAATTGATTTTAAGTTGGGTGCCTAACATAGTATTAGAACAAGGATTTTCTTCCATTACCATTTCTAAATCTATCACGTAGTAAGCTTCTTCAATTTTTGCCTACACATGATGAGAGTTTGTTAAAATGAGTTATCCCATATCTAATAAAATTTTAATTTCTTATAATCTTATATTCAAGTTGAGCCCTTTTACTTACTGTCAATTGGTTGTAAGTTAGTTACTTAACATGGTACTGAGCAAGGATTTCCTTTCATTGCCCTTTCTTAATCTATCATTTAGTAGGCTTTTTCAATCTTTGCTTATACATGATGGGAGCCTGCTAAAGTGGGTTATTTTACATCTAATAAATATTTAATTTTTTATAATCTTATATTTAAGTTGGACATTTTCACTTT